AAAAAATAAAAAAATAGATTATCTCTAATAAAAAAAACCTTTGTAAAGTTAAAAATTCGATTCGTCCGAAACAGCCACAAAAAATCCGATTATTTTAAAGTCTAATATTTCGAAAGCATTTTTCTTGATTTGTCTAATTTTGACTTGTACTCTTTAGCCCACTCACCATAGATATTTAAAGTCATGCTATTTAGTGCCCAATTGTCATCGCGGATCTTACATTATAACTCTTTGGTTCATTCAGCTTTGGAACATGTTCACTTTTTGAAAGTTCAAAAACTCCATTCTACGAGTAAAAAATGTAGTCAAGTAAAGAAAATCCAAGGAAAATTGGTAATTATAGATATATTTTTTGCATTATATTTTTCGTTCAATTTCTAATGATTCATTAAAATAGTTATATCTTGAAGGTATAAAAGCCAGGCAATTGACAGGGAGAGCTTTCATGCAGATAGAGGTTCTCGGAATAAACCTAAAACTTGGGATGCCGCTAAAGCTGCGTTAAGACTAGGTTTTGGCAACTAATAGAGTCTGAATTTCTTAGCAAAATACCTTATTATATTGGGATTTCGAGAATGCGAAAGTAGCTGCAATTTTTGCCAGGTCACTCATTATGTCAAAAATGAATAGCATAGATTTGACCTCTGCCACAAAAATCATAAGGTTACGAAATTATGTCGATTTTGCATTAAAAATATACATAAGAGGACTATACCAGAGCGTCTTTAACAGATTGTTCGTCTAGACCGGGAGTAAGACGTATATGAGTATGCAAAATGTGAGGACCGCATTTTGTCAAATGATAGTAGCTGAGAAAAGTTCAAAGATTAATAATCTGGTTTTTGCCGGTTCATTTTTGGGTCCATTTTTTTATGTCTCCTCTCTGAGAAAATCCATGGAGCATATGCTATGTATGTGATTTTAATGACTATCATAATTCCAATTCAGTTTTTTCTTATAAAAAGCCGACAGGGTTTTAGATTTAAAAAATCTGTTAAAATTTGCTGTTGCTAGTAGAATTTCAATTCACGGCCCTGGGTTTCCACCCTCTAGAGGTATGTGACATAGCTACAGCGGTGCATTTATTATTATTATTATTTGAAAGTTTACTAGAGGATGGGGCAGGAATCCCAGGAGTCGTGGGTTCAAAATTAACAACAAAAAAACATGAAGTAAACAATAAATAGAACGTATAGAAATACAGGGTAGGGTGATTTTGACTTTTTACAATTGAAAAGCATTGTTCGACAATTAGGATGTACATTTACAAGGCTGAATCAATGATTCTGGCAAAGGAAACGTGATCGTTTGTCGTGGACGTAAGGTACCATTGTTCTCTTCATAGCCAAATGAAGAATAGTCGATAGGTTCCAATTGGGTTTGATGTGAATTTTTCAAAATAAATGTTTGTACTCTAGCCTTAACAGATGCAAGTGAAAAGCATCTGACGTACAGGGTCTTTCCGCATATATTGACCCCCCCACTACAGGGGTTTTGTGAAGAGATATCAGAAAATTGTAAAAACAAAAGTTTTGGAGTTTTACCTGAAATTTTCGAGTCCGTTGTCAAAAACTTTTTTGTGTTTTTATGTCAAATTTTGACATATGGTCAGTTTTTTCTTATAGAACACCCTATATGTATATGACTTCATAGTTGAAAAGAGTCAAATTTTCTGATTTCAAATATACATGGTTTAACTACTTCTTATTAAGCCGTTTTGGAAATATCGGGCTCTAAACTAAGAAAATAATACATTGAAACACCTTGGTTTACGCCATTATTATTGTTTGAAATGACACAGGTCTTATCTCAATGTATTATTTTCTTGAAGTTTAGAACCCGATATTTCCAAAACGGCTAAATTAAAAGTAGTTAAATCATATATATTTCAAATCAGAAAATTCGACTCTTTTCAACTATGAAGTCGTACATAGGGTGTTTCATAAGCAAAAACTGACCATCTGTCAAAATTTGACATTTCTAAAAAGACAAAAACATTTTTAACATCTGATCCGAAAATTTTAGGTAAAACCCCAAAACTTTTGTATTTACAATTTTTTGATATTTCCTCACATAAGCCCTGTAATGGGGGGGTCAATATATGGGGAAAGACCCACATATTTTCATTAAGTTGAAGCCGAAACCTATGTTTTGGGAAATCAGCAGTTCATCAGCAATTAGTTTTTTTTTTTTTTAAGTGGGTAGACTGTTTCTAGCTGTTTTAGTTGTTCAACATGAAGAGGTTTCCCAAATATTCTAAGGCTTATTGTAAAAAATCTACGGATGCAGCTTTAAAAAACTGGTATTATCGCATCCACTTACCAAATGTAATGCTGGTAAAATGTTACATATTCTAGTACGACGACAAGTACATATTCTACGACGGCACGTTACATATTCTTTCACCAAGAGATTCAGCAGCTAAGTGGCGTTCTACCATAGACCTAGACAACCAATAGTTGCTAGTTCTTTCGAGTAATATACATATCGTCAGGATGAATACAACTGATCAGCACTAAGGATAATAATAATAAATGAATTCTTAAAGCGTGAAATATCTGATAAAACATTCTTGAATCAGCTTCTGAATGGTTTGATTTTAATTTAGGTACCTCACAGAATAAAGACCCTTTTAGCTTGAAACATTTTGTTGGATCGTCCAATCCTCCACAGATGTGCAGGTTCATCCAACGAGGACGGAACAGGCGCAAATTTTTTACTTTCCCTGTATTTTTGAGAAAATCCATAATAGCTATTTGAAATTTTTTTTTTTCTGGGGAATTTAAAAATGATACAAAAAAATCATTTGAACCAAAAACGAAAGAGTTATGCTATGGGTGAACTGTTTTTCAAATGAAACACCCTGTGTTTGTATGATTTTTGGAAAAGTCGCATTTTTTACGTCTATTCTGTTGAAAATATTTGATATTCCCCTGTTTTTAGTTTATTTTAATGTTTTATGCCTAATAATTTTAGCTTTTTCTTTTCAATTAAATAGGTTCATAGGTGATAGAGATATAATCACCTTTTGTTTAAAGTCAAAAGAAATTTGACATATTTTGTCGCCATCACAGATGTATTGAACAGGTGAAGCTATAGGGGATTGAGTCCTTGAGTCGTTAATCCATATACCATCTTGGTAGCCTGAAAGAAGACCCTGATGCTGTTGGATTCAGCTAATTATTGCATTTCGCTTGCCACTAATCATAATGAGTTATTAGCTGTGTGTTTGGAGTTTCGGGTAAAAATTTGTGTTTTTCCGAAAAAAAAACGTCAACTTCTGTGTTTAAATTCTTTCACACTGTCAAGATTTTTTTTTTTTTTTTTTTTTTCGAGATTCTAATCAAACGAATTTCGTTCTGTAGGCCCCGTAACACACTATCCCTAAGTCCTTGCATCGCGCATTTTCTAGGCCGATATCCGTCTTTCGTGGGAAAGCCGTTTTATCAATATCTCCTGGATCAAATCATATCTGGCTGGTATAAACCGCTTGGTGAGTTGAGCCTTATGGAATATTAGCTCTTGCAGAAAAAAATCAGATATGCGATGGTTAAATCCTCTGTCGATGAAGTGCGTCAGCTCAAATACCGTCGCCAAAGGTGTATTGCATCTCCCTCTTCTGTGGGAGGATGTTATCTGATACCGGAAGAACCTACCTACTTCATTTCTACTCAGACATCAACCCTCATGAAATGGGTGATTCTCCAGATCTTCTCGTTCTGAGTATTGATAGGAAAGCTCGCTTCTTCTCTTGTCTGTCATCTAAGTGACTTCTGTATCATTGAATCTTTGTTAAAGTGATTTTTTTTGTAACTCAATGGGCACGCCGATTGGTAATCCACGATAACCGTGTTGAGCATATTTCCGTCCTAAAGTTGGTAGATTGAGTATGGCCTCGTGTCTTCTTCAAAGTACCTCCACACCCAGTGGGTGCGCTAGATTGTCATTGCTGGCGTATTCTTTGGGTGGATCTAATCGGGCGGCTGAGAGAGAGGATTGTTGACTCCTTCGTCACCCTTTCCTTCCTGTTCCGCTCGTCGATGGCCTTATGCATCGCCAGCATCTTTTTCTGCGTTTTCCCTATATTGATAGTCGCTCTACGGTCCACCGGAGTAAGGTCAACAGAACCGCCTCGACAGTTTTCAGCAATGCTTAGCCAAACAATCTTTTTGGACTTGCGTCCAAGTATACCAATGAAAAATCCTAGGAAAGCTTACTCCATATGGTGTCACCCGTTTAAAAGTCGTCAGCCCCGAACGAAATAGTTCTCATAACATCTTGGCTATATTCATTGCTTCCTCGATATTGTTATAGTTGTCTATAGATGCTTCTATGTATTGTATACTCTAGCTTAATATGATGAGGTGGTGACAATAATTTGGGTTTTTTGAATTTGAAGTTTTGCCACTAGCTCAAAACTCATAACTGAATTTCTATTTCGCGGAATTGCTTCTTATAATTCATATTTTCGCGAAATGTCAAATTTAAGCATTTAAAACCAGTAAAATAGAAATTCGTAATTGGCATTTATGAGTACCTACTAGGCTTCAGGCGGAAAATAGCGAGGCTTTTTAACCTTAGGTTAAGGCATCATTTCGTGGATTTCTGGTATCCAGTTTCACGAGTACAAGGCATGCGTAAAACCCTTAAGTACAAGAAAGGAGTCCCCCAATGTTCAACCGATTTGAAAAAATCCTTTATTTATGTTTTTTTTTTCTAAAATATTTGGATATTATTTTTCTGTTATCGAAACCTGTGGCTCGAAATTTTCTACGAATTTGTCACCGCTATAGTCAAATCGTATGTAACTAAATGCTTAGGAAAAGGTTGTTATAGGGGTACGCGGAAACTGTTCTCATGAGAGATCACTATCCAGGCCATCATTGGCCAATAATCAATAATTGCCCTAATTAATTATTCGCAATTTGCAATTGTTCAGGAAATAATTTCCAATCGGAATCCAGATGAGGGCAGTGAAATATAAACATAAATAGAACAAACTCAGTTTTTATTGGTAGCATTATACATTAAATCTGCTTCAGAAACTTGACTGTAATATATTCCTCTCGTATCTGATGAAGTTGCATCACCAACTGGTATCTGTTTTCCAGAACATTTTTTCTTATCTAAATCATCAAAACTTGGGCATTTGGTAGCGATATATGGTTTATTGTTGAAAAGAGAGCTAGCAAATATTTTCCATGATCGTCCGTGACTACAAGCTTCAATAAACTGAAAGATTTTTTTTTAAGTGTCATATTTGATGTTTGATAACTAATTATTATTTTGTGTATTGATATGGGCGGTAAGGCGATTGCAAAATCATTTAGTACACATGCAAAGTTAAAACTATGAGTAAAGATAGTAGGTGCATACTGTAAGGGGGTTATACTACATTTAAACAAACATATCTACATGTTGGATCATCTTTGGAGTGATCTAGAAATGAGACAATCTTTTGGGCTGTCTAGGTAGCAAAATCAAAGCTAAGGTAAAGTCGGTACAATAAATTGAAACACTCGAAATCGGTTGCATTCGGTAATGTTGATACTGTAAAAATTTCATATTGTTCCCAAATTGATTAATAGCAAACCTAAAAAACATTCAAATAAGGATCAGAAGGTATAAAATAACGACCATTTTGAAGGAATGGATTTGGAGAAGAAGAAATAATGATATCAGAAGAAAACACGAAAATAAAAAATTAAGGAAACAAAAGAAAAAATAGCAATATAAAATGCTTGAGAACTCAGCTCGAAAATGCACAACCTAATAGAATCATAATTTAAAAGGACTTTTGAGCACCTTCATTGAAGTCTGAAGACCTTATCATCTACGTTGGAATCTTTGTTCAAGAGTTCCTGAAAATGCGCCTTGCATCAGGAAATAGAGGCATGATCTTCGAGGTTGAGGCTGGGTTTCATCTCTAGATCTAAGGGGACTTTTGTAGATGGACCATAAGTAGCTTTTGTTGCGCTGAAGAAGTCTCTGGTGTTGTTAGTGCTAAATGCTAAATGTTTGAATTGACTTTGTTGCTCAACACTGTTTTTTTCAGCATTCTTGTCCTTCTCTATAGTTCAGCCTTTACTTGTAGATGGGTTTGTTTCTTGGGAACTGAATTTGGGTCGTTTTGTCATAAATTGTAGGCTTCCAAAATCATTACAAGTAAAATAGTCATAGTCATAGTTTCAATTGAAATTTTCAAAAGAAATTATGGCATGTTTTTAGAGTAAATCCAGTAGCTTTATATGAAATAATAGGTTCTAAATTAATTTTATCTCCAGTTTAGGGCAGTTTATTCGTGTCATGATATGAGCTAAATGATTTTGCAGCCGTCTCTTGGACTATTACCTCTAAGACATTGCATCCTGGTTGAGGGGGTCCGCCACCATTAGGATAAATATCAACGTGGCCAAGTGGCGTTTTATAACCTAGAAAACCTGCACAAGTATGTATAATATCCACGAAAATTGCATCGTTTTGATTGAGAGTTCCTGAGGGATTTATGCCCATGTCAAATCCAGGCAAAGCGGGATCTAGGCCTAAATAATAAATGTTTAATAATATATGCTGGTTTTGAAAAAAAAAAATGAATAATGGATTTGAAAAAATAAATCTACCTAATCCAAAACTATGTTTGGCATTTCACCAGAAATTATTGCCCATTCAATTGAATTGAAAAGAAGCAAAACGTTATACATTTCTTCATTTAAATTTTATATGAGAAAATGCAAAACTAAAAATATAAATGACCTGTTATTCTCCCAACTTTTCCATTTTTGACTTCTCTCCCAGCAAATCCTGAAACATGGGCCCCTAGACTATGCCCTACCAAATGAATACCATCCGGATTTAGACCTAATTCATCTACTAAATAATTTAAATAGGTTCCGTAATGCCTTCCAACATCAGGCGTCGCCATCATTGGTATGGGATAAAAAGGATTTCCAGAAATTGCACTCCAATCCATTACCAAGATATTTGCGTCATGTCTGAAATATACTTTTTTATTAGAGTGCGTTTATAAGAATGAATTATTTTTGTTCAATTATTACGAAAACTATTCGTTTTAAAAAAAAGTTAGTGTAGGCACTCGAATGGGTACTGTGCTACACCAACTTTATTAAAATAACTGACTAATAACAGTATAAGTAAAAACAATATTATTTCTATGTCTTGATTCTAGTCGTGCTGCAAAGAATGCCATCGTCACTTTCCCTGGCATCCAAGTTCCACACCACAAAAGATCACATGTAACGCAACACTTTCGAAAACCCTATATCTGGGTTGTAGACGATAATGATTATCACTGTCTTCTGCGATACTTCTTAGAAGGAAAGGTTACGACAATTTTCAAACATGTGTTTAACTTCTTTTGACTTTTTTTTTCTACATATTGTTGCGTATACGGGTCTTTGCGGTTAAAGGAAACTTCTCTTTTTAACTCAAATAAACTTTATTTGGAACAATAATACAAAAATATAAATAATACTAGCACTATTACAATACTTTGTGTCACTAAAATTGAGCTAACTGTTCACAAAACTATATCACTATAACTGTTCTACTTTCTGTCTGATAGATAACTAACTGACTCGGCCGACTACTGCTTATATAGCACTTCTAGAATTCGGTAGATTATTCCATCTATGGTTCATTTCATTCTCGCAAATTATAGTGGGCATGCGGGGTATGTAGTATGAAAGAAGGGTTATTTTAAGATCTAGGGAGTTGTGACTTTGTATTTGGAGCGTTATCTCTGAGGAACCCCATACAGTGTTGCCAAATTGTGCTTAATTACCTCAACTTTTAATTTATGAGACTGCCCCCTTCCTTAGAGGTATTCGCTCTTAGCAACGTCTTCTGCTCCCATCTAAGTTTATGTATTCTTGCCACTGTTGGAGCCAGCCTTTTCACGTGAACGACGTTTAGCTTGGATTTCTGAGTTCAAATCTTAAACTCTTTTTGACGATACTGCATGGTCTTTGCCACGGCTTCTTTTATTGAAGGTATTCAGTGATTGCCGTTTATCGAGTTTTATCATTATTCTGTCACTGTTCAGACGTACTCTATTCCTGGAGATATCGTGAACCACTCTGAGTCCTGTCCTGGAGATAGGCCACAAACATTAGATCTACTCTCCCAGTAAACAGCATTGATACTGTATAACGGTTGAACTCATGATGAGAGTCTCTATAAGCAAAAGAGGAAAGGAGCAACATCAAGAGGTTGATTGATTAATGGTCGGATAGTTGGTACCTCTCGCCCATCCCGTCGGACTGTGGATAAAGTAGAGTTTTTACCGTGTTCCTGATATTTTTCAGGAGGAACCATAGCAGTACTGCTCCATTTCTTCTTAAGATCACGATTCTATTACTCCAAAGTGACCAGCAGATTCACTACTGTGAAGTTTACGTAGCACTCAGTCCACTATGGCACGAAACACCAACGGTTTGATAATATACTAGAAAAGTAAACTATGTAGACTCGTAGACTATGTAAACTCTCTCATTTACGAGCAGGCACAACCAACTCCTTCACCGTTTAACAAAAATTGTATTTTTTTCCATCCAGGTCATTGTCAATTTTCTGGCCAGCCACGAACAATTTCGATTCCCTTTTCAGCATTTACCTCTCCCTCGAAGTGTTCTTTGCTAATGCCCTCGTCAGCATTGAAATCAGTTTCGGTGCATAACTTGTTGAACAAATCCAGAATTATCGGCTCAATTCGCAAGATTTTGCTATACATGGTTTTCGTGATGGGTTATCAGCGTTAGCTTAGCTTCCTTCTTTGCAATATTCAGTCTGGAAGTAGCAACTTAGTGTCTTCTCTAACCAACTTCTGGTTTTTTTGAAATTGGGCAGCAACTGCAAGGTAAAATGCTTGAATCATACTTCTCCTTGCCTCTCCCAAGGATTTGCTTAAATATCCGATGACCAGGTCCTATTCGGATTTCCGAATTTTGAATTTCCGAACCGTCGGTGTCTAACACAAACAGTCCCTTATCCCTGGGGTATGCGTGAACTGGTGCATTGTTCCACCTGTTTTTCAGCTGTACAATGGAACTTTGTCATACGGATTTCCAATCAAAGCTAGCATTCTTCTCAGTTACTTAACGGCTTCGCAATATGCCCAAAATCGTTATCAAACTGGCCTAGAAAGCTCCCGACTTCATGTTTGTTCTTTGGTGGTGTTCTGGACTTCATTTGGAGTTGTCTCTATTCCTTTTTTTAAAACACAAATTCCGAGAAATTCACATATTAAATAATAGGTTGGCAAAAACTTTCAAGTTAAACAGATATTCTCCAGAATTTTTGCCAATGCCAATCACAAATGCAACTGAACATGTCTCCTAAGCAACTAGTCGCAAAACGAACTCCATCAGTCTTTGAAACATGACAGGTGCAAGGCATCCTGCTAGGGAGTTAAGGGTATCATCATTCCCGAGGAATCAATAACTGTCTACTTTTGTTACTTCATGTAGCCTTCTATAATCCATACAGAACCTGCCTTTTTCATGACTGGCGATTAGTACCTATCAGTGGCGGCTCGTATATTAAAAATGTGGGGGTTGCAATTTCAATTGTACAATCAAACATGTTTTTCGTGAAGGTCCAGAATAAATGTCCTGGTGAAAGTCCTTTTTTTGCTAGTTACAGTTTGTTCAATTTTTGAATTTGGAGTAGCCCTTAGTCTTTTTATTTCAGCCTTATCGGTTGATGAACGCCCACAGAATGGCTCGGCAATTAAATTTTGAACAGAATTCTTTTTTTTTTCACCCCCCACGCGACAAAACTTCACAAAACAAACCTAATCTGCGCTGCGAGCAAAAAAAATAAACAAAGTTTGCACTTAGCTTGCAACCTGCTGGAGCTTATGGAGCGGATTTCGAATCCACGCAAAGACAGGCAACCAAATGTGCGCCGTCATATAATAGATCGGTTTGCTTTGGAGCTGCAATCCAGCGACTCGACGCCGCTACTCGAAGTCGCCGGCGGCCTGTATGTAGGTCCCAAATTTTGGTATAATTTATTTTTTAAATATAATTAGGTACTAAAATTTAGTTCTACTATTTTTGTTTTATATTTTTTAAGTTTTGTTTTGGGGGTTGCGCAAACCTGCAAACCTAAGGAAGAGTCGCCACTGGTACCTATATAGTATTAGATGCATCAATGGCGTCATCCTTCTGCATTCCTTTGCTAAACGGAGTCATCGTGGTGGTTGTCGAATAGGTGTGGCTCTTTCTGTAATGATGAGATGTTCTAGATTAGTTCGTCTAGTTATTTTATTCTGTATAAAAACATCAGCCTTTTCTCTCGCAAAATCATTGGCATTCTTATTTTCTTGCTGGCCTAACCTCTTTTTGAATTTCTTCATAGTTCGTCGTTAGACTCGCTACGATCACTTAAAAAACTTTTTTGAAGCTGACAAAACAGTGTGGTGTGGCATAAGTCCTATTCTACCTGTGCCCCTATTCTTGAAACCAATAGAAAAATGGCTCCCTGAACAGCTCCCATATTTTTTTACTCCCACATTATTTTCTTGGTCTTGGTTTTAAAAATACATATTCTTGAGATGAGGGAGTACCTGGAAGGGAGTGAAAATATGACCATAGTTGCCAAGTGTCAAGTCCCAATTCTGTCCAATTACAGCTTAAAAATTTCTGACAGACATACAGATAGGTATACCTATATCAAAGCCGTCAACGTCTTTCGTCTTTCAAACCACAGTACATTTCAAAGTTTCAATATCTCTGTTTTGAATCAATGCAATTCTTCCATGTGATTGTACTTTGCTTTGCATAAGGATCTTATTTTTATCTTCATTAAATTTTAATTTTTAATAAAAAATGAGCAAAAGAAATTAGCAAAAACCAGAAAGATGCTGAACTTTTCATTCACAAGAACATATGTATTCCAGAAAATTCACCCCCTATACATTTACAAGGGCTTGGTGTCAATACCTGTGGTCGGAGTTAGCGACAATTTTAAATAGTATGACAGAGGGGGCCATTAAAAAAGTTGCACAAATTTGTACTTTAATAATGTAAAGGGTCACTTTGAGAGGCACAAAATCTTCGTCAACATCATCATTCTGAATCATTTATAATATTATTCTAAATTAACATAAATTTATTAACTAATAATATAAAAAGAAGTTCAAGAAGCAACAACATACGACACCACGAAATTGAAAAACAATCAAAAACAGATTTTGACAAATTAGATTGACAAGTTTATATTAGCAAATTCCACTCCCTGTCAAAGTTCTCTCACTTCTTATGACTAATAGAATTCTCAACTGCCTTGAGAGAATAAAATTCCCACAATTCTCCATCAAAATATTTCAAGAATAGTGTCATTTCCCATTTTTGGGAACCACGCCTAATTTCTCTCGTAATTTCTACTCCCTGGAACTCAAGAATAGGGGCGGGGCACTGGTATCGTTTCGGGTACATCACCCATTGATATAACCGACTGCCATGGTGTCATCCAAGGTTCAGAAACAGCGTCTTCAGGAGAAAAAATGTAGAAGTTTTTTTTCTCACCGGTTCTATATGTTTTTTGGGGTGCTGAATCTGAATCTAAGGTTTGCCATCTTGCCAGACGTCGGCTTCACATGAAAAATTTCAAAGAACCTTAACCTAATTAATTAAAGTAGACAAAATTTCTTACAAGTACGTATAATAACTCTAAAGTCTCGACAATCCATAACGACGTTAGATTGTGTTGAAAAAATAGCATTACTCGATTTTCCTCTGAAAAATTTGAAAACGGTATTCCAACCAAGGTTTTGATCAAAGGAAACATATTTGGAACAAATTGGCAATTACACAAAAAAAAGACCATTATCAAATGGTTTCCATATTCATTCTATTCATTCCTTGCGTCCACATCTGTAGAATTATCACCTGAAACAATGAGAATGCTTGCTTGGAAAAACCATATTAGTCAATCAATGTCGTTTTGTCAATCTGCATAAGGCTCATGA